ATTGTACCAATTTACATTCCCACTGGCAGTGTATGAAGATTCATTTTTCTTCACAACCTCTCCAACACTTGTAATTTCTTGTCCTGTTGATGATAGCCATTCTGACAGAAGTGAAATGGCATCACATTGCGAGTTTGATTTGCATTTTCTTAATAGCTAGTGTAGTTGAGCATCATCTCATATGTATGTTGGCTGTTTGTATATCTTTTTGACAGAAGTGTCTGTTCAGGTCCTCTGCCCATTTCTTATTGAGTTGTTGGTCTTGTTTTTGTTCTTGTTGTTGCAATTTATATATTTTGGATATTAATTCCTTAAAAGAGGCATTGCAAATATTTTGCTGAGCAGAAGCTTTGTAGTTTAAAATAGTTCCATTCCTTTATTTTTGCTCTTAGTTCTCTTATCTTCTCTTGTTTTTGAGGTCAGATTCATAAAATTCTCTCTAAATTCAAGGTCCATAAGTTTAATATCTATGTTTTCTTCTATGTAATTTATTGTTTCAGGTCACCTATTCTGGTCTTTGATCCATTTTGAGTTAATTTTGGTGTATGGTGATCGATAGCAGTCTAGTTTCATTATTTCACATATGGCTCTCCAATTTTCCCAGCACAATTTTTGAAGAAGCTTTCTTTTCCCCCATTCATTATATATATAAACAAATAATTTTTGACATAGAAGTCTATGATTTATTGTTGATTCTATTTAGGGATTTCTACATTTGCTTACATGACCCATCTTCCCCTGCAGGCAGTTCTCATATTTATTAGAGACCTTACCTTATTAATTATAGTTGTTTTACAATCCTGGTCTGATAATTTCAACATCCCTGCCACATACAGTTTTGATGCTTGTTATTAATTTTCTTTTTTTTTTTTTGCCTTTTAGTATGTCTTGTAGTTATTTAATTACTTATTTATTTAGTAGCCAAACAGTATGAACTAGAGAAAAAGAACTGCTGTATGTAGGTCTCTAGCAATGTGATGGTGAAGTGTGTGGGGAGTGGAGTCATTCTATAGTTCTTTGATTTGGTCTCTATCTCTTAATGAGCTGGAGCCAATGAACTATGAACTTCACTAGTTTTTCTCCCACTCAGAAATAACAGTATGTCTAGAGTGAGCAAGAGTTAAATATTTTCCTTCTTGCTTATCAAAGGTTAGATCTAAATGAAGTTTGGGAGTTCCTATTTCCCTGGGTCAGACAGGCTCTGATAATGGCCCACATGTTAGGGTCTGGTTAACAGGTTTCTCCTGAAGGCAGGCATTGGTAAGAAAAACAGTGCTCTGGGGTATTACAAATTTGCTTCTTTTTTTTTTTCTCTTCCCCCAGCTAGGGCATGAGTGAATTTTTCCTGGAAGTTACTGTTGTATCCTGGTAAAGCCCTGGGGGTAAACCTCACAAACGTGTGCCCACCCCCACTTAACTTTGGATTTTCCTGGAGTTTTTAACTCTGAGATATCCACACTGAGGCTCCAGCACTTAGTCATTTATCATTCAGATTTCCTTACTGCAGCACTGGTTACCACTGTGGTCTGCTCTAGTGAGTCTCTGCTTTGGTAAGCTATGACTCCCTATATTTACCTGTATCTCCAATCTCGGAAGCCATGGTTTGCTCAATGTCTTTCATTTTCTTATGAATTTAAGAAGAGTTATTGATATTTCTCAGCCTCTTCAGCCTTTTACTTATTAAGACAAAGAATGTCTTTTGAAACTTCACATGGAAATAAAAACCAAAAATCTTTATTTTGTTAATATTTGGCAAAGACAATTACCTAAAAATCCATGTTCACTAATTTTTCAATGATGTAGTTTTCAAAAGTTAATAGGTTTTCTTTTAGAGGTTAGAATTAAAAACAAAACAAAACTGTATTTGAACAGAACCAGCCTTAGTGTATTTAGGCCAGTTGGTTTACTCTTTCTTTAGAGCACAAAACACGTGGGACTGCAAGTTGAAATAGAAAACAAGATCCTTCATTTGCTGTTGGGGTGGGAGAGGATATTGGAGATAATTTGCCCCCCCTCCAAAAAAAGACTTTTCATTCAACGCAATACCCTCTATGTCCATCAAAGCAATATCTTTTTCCATCCCCTTCCTTTTAGTCTGTGTGTGTCTTTTAATCTAAAGTGAGTCTCTTGTAGACAGCATATGTAGGCATCTTGTTTTCTTATCAATTCAGCCACTCTATCTTTTGGTTGGAGCACTTAATTCTTTTTCATTTGAGGTAATTGTTGATAGGAATGTAGTTATTATCATTCTTTATTCCTGTTTTTGATACATGTTTTTTCTTCTTAAAGAAGTAAATCCAACATTTCCTATAATACTGGCTTTGTGTTGATAAATTCCCTTAGCTTATCTTTGTCTAGGAAGCTCTTTATCTGTCATTTGTCACAAAATGATAGCTTTGCTGGATAAAGTATTCTTGGCTGTAGATCCTGGGTTTTCATTATGTCAAATATTTTGTGCCAATCCCTTCTGTCCTGCATAGTTTCTTTTGAGAAATCAGCTGCCAGTCTAATTGGTGCACCCGTATAGATAACTAACTGCTTTTCTCTTGCTGCTTTTAAGATTCTCTCTTTGTATTTAATCTTCGGCATTTTGATTATGACATGTCTTAGTGTGGGCCTCCTTGAGTTCATCTTGTTTGAGATTCTCTGACCTTTCTTGGGTTGTATTTCTATGTTTTTCACCAGGTTAGGGAATTTTTCCATCAATTCTTCAAATAGCTTTTCAAGTCCTTGCTGTCTCTTCTCCTTCTGGTACTCTTATAATGTGAATGTTGTTATGCTTACATTGTCCCAGAGGCTTCTTAAACTATTTTCATTCATATGGGCACTTTTTTCTTGCTGATGTTCTAATTGGGTCTCCTCTGATACTCCATCCTTATATCAGTGTTTTGATCTTCGTTTCACCCACTCTGGATTCCCTCTAATGTACTCTTTATCTCAGGTATTGTTGTCTTCATTTCTGACTGGCCCCTTACTATGTTTTCCACCTTCATTTTTATGTTTCTTACCTCTTTGTTAAATTTCTTACTGAATCCATCTGCTTTTCTCCTGTTTCTTGACCATCTTTATAACCAGTTTTTTTTAACTCTGCATCGGGTAGATTACTTGTCTCCATTTTTGAAAAATTTTTTTCCGGAGCTTTGTCTTGTTCTTTCAAATGAGACATGCTTCTTTGTCTACCCATTTTGGCTGCCTCCCTGTGTCTGCTTTTGTGTATGAAATAGACAAAAAGCTTAGTACACTCTCCTGGTCTTAGTAGAGGGATTTAGTTGTAGTAGTTGTGCTGTGGAGCCTCACGCCACAAACCTGAGAGGGTTCCAGCAGCAGGCAAGTTCAGCCACAGCCTGTCCATTTCTGGGGTCAGCTGGTAAGAGTCACCAAGCAATCTGTATATGGCTGTCACCTGTGCTGGAGTCAAGTCAGAAACCAAGGCTGGCTGCAGCTGGTATGGAGCTTGAAGCTTCTCAGCAAGAGATTCAGGGTATGTTGAGGCCAGACACTCCTTCTTTGGGTTTTGTGTGCATTTGAAAGATTTTATGAAATTCGCAACAAAGCCAAGACAGCCAGTTTGTATGGAATAAAACTGGAAGTGGCTTGGGTTGGACTGCAAGTTGGGAGAGATGGAGTTTCAGGGAATCCCCTGGGCCAAGCAACCAGTGCTATCCTAGTTGATGGAACCTGTGTTTGCAGGCTGGGAAGGGGGAGGTCTCAACAAAGAACATGGCTTCTGACTACATCTCTGTCCAGGAGTCAGGAGCCCCTCCACCACTCACCCTGAAGTCTAACAGATCAGAGCTTCTCCCTATGGCACTCCTTAGCAGACGCCTAGCACTGGAGCTCAGAGCAAGCAATTCCATGAGTGACTAAGGCTAGCAGTGGGCCCTATAAGAGGAAAGTGTCTGCTGTCTCACTCTGCTGCTACCTCTGTTGGTTTTCACAGCTAGAGGTGGTATGGACTTCTCTTCCAAATGCTGGAAAGCCCAGTGTATGGCCAGGATTCCTCACGCCTCAGCTGGGGGAGGTGGCTCTGCAGCAAAGACAGTGCTTTAATTCTTGATCACCACTCATGGGTATGGGATCGGGCTCGTTTTGTGTCTCCACCCCTCCATTTGAGGTGACCTGTGATGTGAGGTGACCTAGTTGTAGGGCTTCTGTTCAGTCAGATCTCTGGTTACTCCATGTACTGCTTGCTCTTTTTAATAATTTTTAAATAATTTTTTAATAATTTTGTAGTTTTTTAAAATAATAATTTTGTGGTGGTCAAAAGAGAGGCATGCACAGCCTTTACCTTCTATGCCATCTTGTCTCTCCATTAATCCTTTTATGAAGTGACTCTCATTTTATAGTCCATTTTGCAACTCCCCAACCATAATTATTTATTCTGCACGTTGAGTAAACTTGTAAATGAATTACTTAGGATTCACCTATATATTCCAAGGAACCCTATCATGAAAGATATAAACTTGTCGTGCTTGCTTTATAGTGTTGCAAGAACTTCTAATTTCTTTCAGAGCCCTCTGTCTAATCTGTATAATTACCACCTCCCCTGAAAATAAAGAAATAGAAGAACTGGTGTTAACCATTTAAGAGAAAACTATAATAGAAATAAAACAAAAACATACTCTAATATGAACCCAGCAATGGTATAACTTTTAGGATTCATTTATCTTATGTTAACCATTTAGGTGATATGTGAAGTATAACAGAATAATTATAGTGAATGATAACATCAAGTTTGGCAGTTTTTATTTTTATTTCTAGATATTAGTAAAACTATGTTGTCTGTATGTTAGAGTAAAATAGATGCCTTTTATAGCATTGAAATATTACCAAAAATAAAACAAAAATATTGGTTGGGAAAATATAATTATTTTGTCAAATTACTTTATTACTCTATATTAATTCAGCTCCTGTTCTAATCCTGGAATTATATTTCTCCTAGTGACTGTACAATGTTGAGGTGACCTCCCTGTGAGGCTGCAGGACTAATGCGATTGTGTTTACATTTTCACAGAGCAGATTCTCTGAATCACTCTCTTTAAGGCCCCCATCACCTCCTTGTTTCTTAGACTGTAGATGAAGGGATTGAGCACTGGGGTCAGGATGGTGTAGAAGACAGCCAGTATCATATCCTCTCTTGGAGATCGTAGGGATCTTGGGCGCAAGTAAGTGTAACCAAAGGGTGCATAGTACAAAGTCACCACAGTGAGGTGGGTGCTGCAGGTCCAGTAAGCTTTCTTCCTCCCTGCCCCTGAGTGCATGTGGAGGATAGCAAGGAGCACTCGGCCATAGGAACATGCAATAGCAATGAAAGGCACCACGAGGAAGAGGGTGGTGCTTGCAAACACTGTGCACTCATAGACCCAGGTGTCCATACAGGCCAGCGTCAGCATGGCTGGGACATCACAGAAGAAATGGTTGATGGCCCTGGATCGGCAGTAGGAGATATGTAGGGCATATGCAGTGTGGGCACAGGAGTTGATAGTACTTGTCATCCAAGACCCTGCTATCATCAGCACGCATGCTCTTTTACTCATCCGAGTGAAATAGTGGAGGGGAAAGCAAATGGCCATATAGCGGTCATAGGCCATGCATGTCAACAGCAGAGCTTCTGCGCCTCCTAAAGTCAAGAAGAAGAAGCTCTGAACCCCACACCCAATGAACGAGATAGACTTGTTTCCCAGCAGGTAGTTGAAAGCCATTTTGGGAACAGTGGTGGAGACATAGTTCAGATCAATGAGGGAGAGCTGGCTGAGGAGGATGTACATGGGGGTGTGGAGGTGGGCGTCCAGCACGATGAGGAGGACCATGGACAAGTTGCCAAGCAGAGCCATTAGGAACATGAGCACAATGAGAGAGAAGAAGAATAGCCCGATATTTGATATTGGGAGTAGCCCCAATAAGACGAAATCAATTGATGTTTGGTTGTAATTCTCCATTAGCTGGCTTTCCTGAAAGAAGAGACAAGCATACATGGTAAATTAAGACCTGTGAACTGTGTATTTTTTAAATTATAGTTTTTAATCTAACTCTAAATATTTCAGGAAATACACAATTCCTTAAATTTTTAATTAAAGTTTCTTACTTAGAAGAAAAAGTAAATCCCATTATGTTATCTGAAGTCAGAGGTCAGATGGTGTTCATTTATATCCAAGTTTTTGTAAAGATTCCATGAAATAACAAAAGGAAAATATCTCTACTTACTTGATAGGATGAAAATAATTGGCTGTCCTTCTGAAATATATATATCAATAATATCGAATGTTTTAATTCATATAAACATAATACTTTTCCAAGACTGAGCACAAATTGGATTTCAGTTTAAATAAATATGGGTTTGGCTCATTATACAAATGAACCTAGAGATACACAAAAGGTGACTTTTTTTCATATTCAGAATTTTATTTTTTGCTCATCATTTGAAACATAATTTTAACTTTTTAAAAATCATATTTGGAAGCTAAATTCGCTTGTCGACATCATTATGTTTAACACTGCAATGTAAATCCTTATGAATGTCAGTTGTCAGTAAGTGGCATGAGCTAAGAAAAACACCAGTCTTTATTCTTTAATACTATCAGGTACAAACTGATAGTCCTGACTGTTGGGTTCTTCCATTATCATCATTTTTATCTTTCCATTTCAATTACTCACTCTTCAGTAGAGGGAAGACCCTTCTCCAGATCTTCTGTGAGCCATGTGCAGTGTAGCCAGCATTATTCAGATGTTTAGGAATCAGCAAATGTTAATTATCATGATTTTAAAATAAACACAAGGAAGAAATGTGAGATGGAAATTTTTACACAATTTAATGATGGTACTTAAATGAAAAATGGTTATTCAATTAATGGGGCACAGGTTTTGAAATTCCAAAATATGGGAATAAATAGCATTCCAAAAAAATCTACCATTAGAAAAATTTTGGTATCATGTCAATTTTGGTGGGCTGTCAACTAACCTGGTTTGCCTCAAATGAAGGGGTTCTTGGAACATACAGCTTTCAGGTTTAAAACAAGGAAAGGCCTCAAAAAACTGGAATTAGCAAGTTGCTGTATGACTCATAGAATTCTAAATCTATAGATTCCTAGAATTTTGAGGAAGTCAAGAAAGAGGGGATTAAAATATACACAGAGCAAAATTATTTTAAAAAAGAGAAAATATAGACAAAATATTTCAAAATAAAAGGTACCACATTCAGAAACCTATGACATATTATTCCACAAAAAATAATGTTCTTGAAAATTCAAAAAAATTAGCCAATATAAATAATTCATTCAAAATTTTGAAATGCAAATATCAAAAAATCTTCCAGGAAGATTGTTGCAAATAGGCCTATAAAAAGTATGAAGGAAAAATAAAGAAAAAAAGGAGGGGCTGTAAAAAATAATACATTAGAAATTAGGAAAGTGAGCAGGAATACTTATGTATGATTAGGGTATTTCTACAAATGTGCAGAAAAAGTATATTGAATTAAATTATGAGACTATTTCTCAGAATCGAACAATATGAGGCACTACTGAAACACCATTCACAGAGTCCAGCAAAATGCATGAGAATCGCTCTGATATACAAAGAAAATGCGAGATATTTTTCTTAAAATATACTCTGCTTTTCTGTAGAAGACACAGCATGTTAAGCTGTTATTAAGATATATTTCATTAGTCTGAATTATTTACCCTGTTGCCAAAGCAGTGTTTGAAATAACTTTTACTATCACTGCTTATCAATGATTTTTCAAATACGACTTTCCACAGCAAAATTTAACAAGTATTTATTATTTACATAGTATCATAGACATAAGAAGGTGAGGGATATGAAGAGGTCATGGAAATAGCAGATGACCCATCAGACCTGGTACTGGATCCATGGAGTGTGCAATTTTTAGTTATGCCATTTAGACTGGGCCTTCACTAATATGAAAGGATCGTCCTACAAAAGAATTAATCATACACATTATATGTGTATTTTAAAGAGAAGACCATTTTTGAATGGACATAGAAACTTCTATAAGATTATTTCTATGAGTTTTTTTTCTGCTTCTAGCCATTGAAATAACAATGACTAACCTATTTATACTTCATTTTAAAAAAACTTTCACCTCTTTTGATTACTTTATGTCACCTTAAAAATGTTGACACTTAACTATCAGAATCTATTTCACAATATACAGGAGAAAACAGCACCTGTCTAACATTGTACGCTGGATGAGAGATAGGGCATGCCACGCTCTTGGGCAATTTATGTCTGTGTGAGGGAAGACTCAGGCATGAATCTATTGCCCATCCCCTGTGGCAGCCTGACAGGTGTCAGGAATTATGCCAACTTGACAACAAGCTTCTGAGGTTGGTAGTATCGTCCACATTTGTAAAAGAACTGAAATTCAGAGAATTTAAGTGACTTTCCACATATCACAAGCTAAAAACATATTCTTATCCCTTTCTGTATGAGAGGTGGTAAATCAGAAATGTGAGGTTCATATTTTAGCCACCCCAAGCTATTTACAAACAAATTCTCTATTCACACTAGGCAGTAGATGATGGAAACTGTTTTTGATAGGTTATTTTATGTCCAATAAAAATATTTTAGAGTTTAATGCTTTCACATTTCACATCTCCCTAGAGACATGCTTCCTTGGGTCTCCTGCTCTTGCTGTTTTCACTGTTGTGCTGCAGCAACCCAAGAGTTCACGCCAGCCTCTAGTAAGTGGGAGAAAAAAGGCTTCATGATATCATTTAGAGGTACATAATACCTTATGGATTCTATCTAAAGTCTAAATCATATGTTGCTTTTTATAAAAGGTGTCTCTATGTAGAAAGATATTTTTACCAAACACCACCCGCACTGCTCCTAAGTCAGGTCGTAGAAGTACACATTCTATCCACAAGTTGCATGGTAACTTTGAAAGTGACACATATCACATTTCTGTAGCTATTTCTTTGCATAGCTCCATTTTTTCTTATTTTTTCTTCAGCTATTGGAATAATTTAATAAGAAAAATGTCTCGATTTTATAATTCATGAATTTATTATTAGTACAAACATTTAAAATGTACTTGCATGGTTACACAGATTAAAAAATAAAGCACAAGGACCCAATGATTTACAGTCATTTCATCAAAACTACACAGTCACCACATGGATAGCCAGTTCCAGAATTACTGTTTTCTGATTCCCTGTGCAGAATTGTGTCCCGAATTAAAAGCAATTTCAAAACTCGGCTTCCCTTCTTTTCTGGATGACTTTTCAAACCAGCAGTAATCCAGAAATTAGCCTGCTTTATTAAAGACCCATTGTTTACATTAAAAAATTTATGTTTTTGGAATTTTTTAGGGAGTCTAACCAGCCAGAGCTCACGTGTACACTCCAAATACGCTATCTCCCTTACAGTGTATAATTATGTATCTGTGGGTGTCACTTGTGTGAAGTTTCTCATTCGCCAATGCTTAACTAAGCAAACCCTAGAAGAGGAGATACAATGTAGGCTTAATGTGTTAATACCATGCATTCCTTGAGTCATTTAAACATTTAAGTATGTTATTTATCATTTAATCAAATTACATTTTCAATAAAGTGAGAATTTGTACTGTGTACGTGTTCCTATAATTTCATAAGTTAGAATTCACTAGGATCAAGGTTACACACACATATATACATGTGCACATGCGCACACAACACACAGTGTGCTCTGCGATGGATGCAGCTTTGTGCTGTTTCACAATAGGTGATACTGATATATTCACAAGTAAATTGTATAGTATTAACTGCCAAATTTTCAATCTACCTCTAGTACTGCCACTTATTAGGAATGTGACATTAGTCCAGTGAATTTTACTGTATGAGCTCGTTGCTTGCAAATTAACAGGTACAAAATCATTAAAGAGGCACAACATGGTTAAGGCCGTCTGATATATAAGTTATCAGTTAAGCAATGGTTCCAATCTGGGAGATGAATTGGCTCTCTCCCAGGGTCTTTGGGCAATGTATGGAGATGTGTCTAGCTGTCACTACTGCCATGTAGCGGGTGCTGTTAAATATTCTCATAAGCACAGGACACTCAGAGACGAAAAACAATTTGGCCCAAAGTGTCAAATTTGTTAAGAAACTCTCAGTTAACGTAGCTTCAACCTTCTTAGTTTTCAACTTTGTCTTCATCATTTGTACATTGTCATCCACTAAGACTATGCAATGATGAAGTGTTTCTTTTTTTTGTATGCTCCAACTTGAGTCATAAGAGCAATGTCAGATTGCCTGTACTGTCATCATGTGCCCATTTCCTGAGGGTTCAGTGAGTACACAAGGCCAACAGCAGAGAGTCAACACTAAGTTAAAGCTCTGGGCACCCTGTGACCACTGGCCCTGACTGGCACCACTGCTCTGGGGAAACCACACCTTCCAGGGTCTTTACTGAACACTTGGCTCTGGGTGTGACCTTGACCCTCAGAGTCAGCTGTGCACACAGTTGATTCAGTTTCCATATGGGTAGGCAATGCTGGAGCCCAGCCTATTTCAATGAGTCCCAGTTCGACCCTCCTCTCATCTCTCCTGCAATTCTGACATCTTGTCTATGGATTAGCTTGGAAAACAAACTACACAAACACCAAACTGTTGTCTGTGCTGGTCCTCCAGGAGCTCTACTCCACACTGTGTGAAAAGTATCCAGCCTGGCATTCACCTCTAATCTGATTCTGAGCTCTACTTGCCTGCGAATTGACTCCTGGACTGCAGCATCATTTTCTTCCAGATATGCAAGCACTGCCAAAAGGGTGAATTAAAATGGAATTAAAATGCATATTCTTATATGAGGTGGCTTCATGTGGACACCTTCACTACTTAGAGTATAATCTCCATATAAAAACCTCACATTCCTCATTCTCACAATTGCTGCCAACTCCCACTCTATGCCAGAGGTTCTGTAGCGGGCTCTAGCTTCATCATACCAC